CTTGATATTAACCCCACCAGGCTCCCAGCTTGACTCCTGAAGCCACACACCCAGGAGGGAGGGAGACCAGAGAGGATATTAAAGGGGTTGCAAGTGTCATGTAGTGGCAAACCTTCTCCCAGCATTGAAGAGCTGCTGTGGAGTGACAGCTGGTGGAGAAAGAACAGAAGGATGAGACAAAGGAGTCAACAATCATCACATGAAGCCTCCTCCCACCTTCCTCATCAGAGCAGGGCATGCCAGCTCCTCCGGCCCACCCCACAAGTGTTGCCAAGGGCCAGCTTTCAAGCAGCAGCCCAGTTTTCAAATAGCACAGAGCATAATCACAACCTTACTTCACAGCCTTACTTCCCACCCCTCAGTGCCTGCTTCACACCAGTTGCCAGCTGGAGACTCATCCCTTCCCACTCCATCCATAACTCTGCTGGCAGTTTGCTCCCCATAAGAAAAGGAAGCAAGCAACATCTTCTTTAGCCTTGTGTACCAAGAACAAATCAACCTGCTCTAGTGCTGGAACTGAAGCTGTCTCAGCCTGTCACAGAGCTGCAGATGGCACTCGGTGTTCAGAAGGCTGATTTGTTTGTTGGAGCTGTTAAAACACCATCATTATTCTAAATTCTTGCTGTAGCACTTGAATTAAACTCAAGAGCTCAGAGAGGTACACACCAGCATTCCAAATAAACTAAGCAGAGACCTTTGAAACACAGACACAGAACAGAGTTCAGTGGTCCTTGGGCTGCTGGTGCAGACACTGAACAGCTCCTCACCCTTTCTGAACACACCATCACCTGCTGCTCCACATCTCACTCTGCTTATGGACTCACCACACAAGCACAGCAGGAACTGTTCATTCCATTTGGTTTAAAGCCTGGCTGTACAGAACAGGTAAGGAATAGCCTGAAGCTTCACAAGCTGATGAGACACTGCAGAGCAGATCCTTAATCTCACAATTCCTTGCCTTAAACAATATATCTTCTCTCTCAGTCTCCAGCACAAGCCAAAGGCACCCTGGGTGTCCTGACTCAGTCACTTGTCTCCCACCTAAAGGCATTTCCCTGCCAGGCATCTCCTTTCATGGAATACTCAGCAAGAAGCAGCAGGATTTTGAGTGCTTCTCCAGACCAAAGCCAGGGAAGACATTTCCAACTACCTGGTGAGCACAAACACATTGCAGAAGTTATGAAAATTGAGCAAGGAGCATAATCTGTAGCCTCAAACTCTGTGCAGTGAGACTCCTTCACCCCAGGCAGGCACTGCAGTGTCAGTCTGTCCAGCTGAACCATGAGCAGGGTGCCAAGGCACGTTGGGGAAATGAGGAAATTTCAGCCATTCTCTCCAGACAGAAATAACTCAGCAATTCTCCCAGCACATCACTGAGGTAAGAAAGGCTCCTGACCATTTCAATCAGTCTTGCTGCACTCAGTCAGTGGTTCCTTGGTTTTTACAAACAATTAACAAAGTGCAGTTTCCAGTAAGTGATTGCAAATAAATCCTTAGGTGCTCAACAGACAACAGCTCCAGAAAGTCACACAGTGACACTAGAAAGCCCAGATTCAGATCAGTACTGGGGTTTCCAGTGGCTGATTGTGTACCACAGCTCTGCATAACAACACTATGTTTTCCTGCCACCAAGCAGAGCCCCAGGAATTGTCCTCCAGTATGGAAAGTTACACAAAGGCAATTTCTACCACAAATTTAGAAGACAGTGTGAAATTTAAGCTCTTGCCATTTCTCAGCCATCAAGAGGCAGTGGTAGCTGTCAGCAAACCAGAGCAGTAGTGGTTATGGAGAGGTATTAACTGCTTAATCCCCAGAGTCCTGTTCTCAAAGACATGTTTGTTGGGTTTTTTTGTTAAAAATCTCCTTCTATCTTCTAAGCCCAGCCCTGATGAGTGACAACAGAGGTTTAGCCCAGAAACCCTCTTCAGTAATCTCCTGTTTGGACAAAAGTCTCTTTCCATTGCCCTGCCCAAACTCCCAGCTGTAACATGCTGTGGGAATGATCACAGGCATCCTAAAGCAGTAAGGAATTTGCCAAAAGACTCCCAGGTGAGGCTAGAAAACAGATCCCACACCTCCCAGACAAGCTGTAACACCTGACACCATCACCTGCTTTGCATCCAAACCCAAATACTTCAGTGTAGGCTCAAAGTCTGCCAAATCCTGCTGGAACAGACTGCCAAACCACCCCTTCTCATGGCCTACTCTAAGAAGTTTAAGCTGTCTCAATGATGCTCTGGAAGCTCAGAATTGAGATTTTCCACTGGAATATAACAAAGTATAATAAAAATCAGACAACTGATTGCTGAACTACAGCTAATCCATGATTACAACTTTGTTGGGCATAGCTCAGGGCAACTATGATAACACTACAGGTATTGCAACACACACAGGAATTGAAGGACTTGCCAGTTTTACAGAGTTTCATAGATTCACAGAATGTTTTGGGTTGGGAGAGACCTTAAAGCTCATCCCTTTCCAGACCCTGCCATGAGCAGGGACACCTTCCACTAGACCAGGCTGCTCAGAGCCCCCCTCTATCTTGGTCTTGAACATTTGTACCATCCTTTTCTGTCCCAAATCACACAAACCTCCTGGTATCAGAACAAACTCCATGAGTTGTAATGAAGGCAAGAGGATGGGCAATGTTATCCATCTCAGACACTGTTTTCCAAGTGTTACCATTTGTAAAGTCTGAGGCACAGCTGGTTTTTGCAGAATTACTAAAATATTTCCAAACACCCTGCCAGGAACTGCAGGAGTTGTTAACACAGGGATTAAAGCAGGTAGCTGTACCTGGCAGAGCTGCTCTGCTCCAGCACAGAGCATACAATTCCCACCTGGCTGTGCTACATGAAACTAGAAAAACAATCCTAAGGCCAAACCTTCTCCTGTTTTTTCAAAAAACACTGAGTCTATTTACATCAAGTTCATCCAGGAGTTAACCACAAGGAGCTTGTGAATACAGGGACTGCATAAACACGACTTCAGCACAACAGGAAAGAACTGGAAGGACTCATACCCATCCTCAGACACCACAGCTCTGCTCTGCTCCCCCCTGGAGAAGAGTCAGAAACAGGAGGGAGAACCAGGGACAGGCTGTCCTGTTCAGAAGAGGCAGCCAGCCCCCACTTTTCTTACACTTTATTAACATTTTTCCCAATCAGACAAAAACCCCACCACAGCAAAGTGGGCAAATGCACCACACTCACCAGCTCCAAGAGCCCACATGCACTGCTCTGGTTTATTCAGTGTGGTGTCTCTCCAGGCAAATCAAGCCCTTTCTCAGTTGGGATGATGGCAGTGTCCCACAGGGGAATCAGGAGCAGCTCTGGCCTCCACCATCAGCTTCCTCCATGGCTTCCCCTACCACCCAGACAGCGAGGGCTGGATCCTGCTCTGCTCCCTGGTGCCACACACCCACAGTCTTCCTGTGGGACCTCCCAGTCCCACATCCATCATTATCTGAGCTCCCAGGACCCCCTGAGCGAACCATTCACTCACAGGGCCAGCTTTCACCACTGCTCAGCTCAAGGACCATTAGTTCAGCTTCTTTCCACAGCCCTGTGCACAAAGAGAACCCAGGACAGCCATGCTCCACTCAAAATGCATTCAAGTTCCACCCTGAACAATGGTAAAAAGACACCAAATTTAAGGAAAGAAACCCATTAAAAAACCCCACCACAAGCACAGTTCTAAAGCAGAGGACAGAAACCCAATGTTAAAAGTCCTAATTCAAACCCAGAATATCTAAAGTGAAAAAAGAGAGCCACCTCACCCTCCATTTGTAAGTGCAGAATAGGAAGTGCGGCCCCCAGGACCACCCACACCCAGCTGGTGACACTCAGAATTAGGGCTGATAAGAGGATTCAGCTGGGGAGAACATGAGTCCCATCCTGCCAGGGCTCTGCTGGTGCCCCTGAGAGGAACAGGATGTCCCCCCACACATGACAGCTAAAATCCCAGTATTGAAAAGAAACATGAACCAAGATTAGTCTTGACATTTCTGGGTCTTGTAATCACAGTGGGTGACAAAAGCAAATTCTGGATCAGAGCTTTTCCCTGAGCAATTTAAACACAGCTATTTTAAGAAGACTGAGCTAAACAAAGGGGTGACAGCCCAAAAGTTGAAAGCCACAGGATGTGGGGTCCTGGGATTATGTGATAATCAGGCAGTCCAAACAGTCTCCAAACTACATATACTTTTTGGAAATCAGGGTGAAAAAGCACTGCCCCTGCCCAGCCTTGTTCCCCTCACCCCATCTGTGGGTTCTTGTCCTCTCACATGCCATGGAGAGGCATTGCTGGCCAAAATCTCTTGACCTCCTCACAAGGTGAAGGCTCAGTTCAGGAGAAGGAAATAATGAGGCAGGAAGCGAAAATTAAATCATTTCAGTGGAAAATGGAAGGGAATGGTTTTTACATTCATCTCCTTTTGTTGGCATCTTGTCAAAGGGCTTTTATTGGGAAACCACAGTTGGACCCAGGGACTCTGGTGGGGAGAAAAGCTGTGTTTTTCCTACTTGAGGCTCAGTGCCTCCTGTGAGATATCCCACAGCAACAGGAGACAGGTTTGAGGTGAAACTTGAACTTTTGGTGTGTTTTCCCATCAGACCTGTCCATGCCTTCCCTGGCAGCCAGTCCAGCCATGCTGGCAGAGGTGTGAGGCCCTGCTGGATCGCTGCATGCTTCAGGCAAAGGCACCAGCCACTGCTGGAGGCCAGGAGAAATAGTGACACCATTGAAGGGACAATCCTCCTGCCCCAGGGGCAGGACACAGCCACTTCCACACTGGTCTGGCTGGTCCCACATGGTTCTGACAGCCCCATGGTAGGGAACAGCCTGTCAGTGATGCAGGGGACATGTACTGAAGAATTTATTGAGCTGATAAGATTTTAAGAATTTGTGAGCATTTAAGAATTATTTATATTATAATTACTAAGAATTTATTATTTAAGAAAGTATTTTCCTTTGGAGAAATATATTTAGGAAACGGCAAAATGCAGTAAGGAGAGAGAGGGAAAACATGATAGAAGGTCCTGTGAGCAGCATGGCTGGGGGAAAGAGGGGAAGGACAGGTGGCCCAGGTGCTGCACTGCTCCCCAGAAGCCCAGACAGAGCAGATATCCAAGCCTGGGATCATATTAATTAGCAATAATTTTTTGGGGTTTTGTTTGTTTTTTTTAATCTTAAACCCATCCTGTTTACCCGTATCATTTACCGGTGCATGATCTTCCTGCCCTTTACTCCCATGATTCGTTTCACCTCCCTTCTCCCATCCCGGCTGCGGACGGGGCGTGAGGGAGCGGCGGGTGTTGATCGGGGGCAGCTCAGCACGGCGGACCTGGGTCATATCCAGGGCAAAACCCGGTGCCCGGCCCTGTCCCTCAGCAGTGCCCGTCTCGGTGCTCCGTCCCCTCCCCGGTGCCCATCCCTGGGTGCTCCGTCCCCTCCCCGGTGCCCATCCCTGGGTGCTCCGTCCCTTCCCCGGCGCCCATCTCTGGGTGCTCCGTCCCCTCCCCGGTGCCCATCCCTGGTGCTCCGTCCCTTCCCCGGTGCCCATCCCTGGTGCTCCGTCCCCTCCCCGGTGCCCATCCCTGGGTGCTCCGTCCCTTCCCCGGTGCCCATCCCTAGGTGCCCTCTCAGCTCCCTCCCGGTGCCCGGTCCCCGCCGCTCGCAGTCCTCCGAGCCGCCAGGGGGCGCGTTGTCGGAGCCCGCCGCTCTTGGCGGCGCTCGTGCCCGGCGGCGGAAGGACGCTGGTCCGGCACGTGTCCATGGAGGCCGGCGGGTCCCGCTGCCTCAGGTGGGGCGGAAGGGGGGAAAGCGGGAGGCGGCGGGGGAATCCGCTGTGAGGGGGCTGGGAAGGTGCTGAGGGGAACCGCAGACAACCGCACTACGGGAAGCCGCGGGAGCACTGGGGGAGTCTGCACTGTTGGGGACCCGGGAGGCACCGGCGGAACGCGCGGTACCGGGGAAAAGGAGGCACTGGCGGGAGCCACCGATGAGGGGGCCGAGGAGGTACCGGGGGACCCGCGGTACGGGGCCTGGGGAAGCACCGCGGGAACGCCCGGTACGGGGATCTGGAGGGGCTGCCGAAGCACGGCAGGACCGGGAGGCCCCGGGGGCACTGCAGTCCGGGGCTGTCCGGGGTGCCGGGGCTGGCGGCCGCTCTCCCGTCCCTCACCACCCCGCTGTCGCCCGCAGCACGGCGGAGCAGCCGGAGCGCCAGGCCCCGCGGAGCCCCCGCGGGCAGAAGCATTTCCTCCCCGACGGCTCGGCCGGGCAGGCCGAGAGGCTGCGGCGCTGCGGCGAGGAGCAGTGGCGGCTGCTCTGCGAGGAGCGCCCGGAGCGGCCGTAAGTCCATCCCTGGAGCGGCGCTGGGAATGGCTTTCCCCGTGGAAGGGGTGATGCCGGCGGGCAGAGCACAGCTCGGGGGTTACGGGTGCGATCCTGTTGGCAGCAGGTGTTGGTCAGCGCAGTAAACCCCCCGCAGTTCACCTGCACTCAGTGCCCGTGCTGGAGCAGCAGCAGTGCGACACAGCCTGGCTGTCCCTGAAGGAGACAGGGACATGCTGGCACACCTGTGGCTTCAGAAAGTCCCTCACAGAGCTCTTGGTTTTCACAGGTGCGTGTGTAATCCTGTGGCCTTTGCAGGTAGCAGCTACAGCCTTCTTGGGCATGATACAAGTTACAGAGTGTCTTCTTGATGCTCCTGTGTGGCCTTGTGAAGATTTGACCAGGTGTCAGTGTCCCTGATTTATTAGTCTTGGTGCTTTCAACAGTGCTGCCAGATTTTGGTGTTTATCACTTGGGAGGCATTCACACCCACCTCTCAACACAAACCTTCTCTGCTTGGCCTGCAGCTATTGATTTTTCCCTGTGAGTCCCCGTGGGTGGGGTACAGTGATTAGAAGATGTCTTGGCAGCAGCTGAGTTCTGTATGATACAGAATCACTGAATGGTTTGGGTTGGAAGGGACCTTAAATATCACCCCATTGGACTCCCTGCCATAGGCAAAGACACCTTCCACTAGACCAGGCTGCTCAGAGCCCCATCCAACCTGGCAGTGAATGCTTACAGGGACGTGGCAGCCACAGCCTCTCTGGGCAACCTCAGAGAAGGTTAGTTAACTAACACCTCAGAGGTGTTAGTTCCTCAATATCCACATATCCTGCAATAGGCCCTGCATCTCCAGCAAGCTGCTGTAGCCTGTGGACATGTCTCTGTGGTGCTGACTGAAGACACTTTTAACTTTTTGGTGGTGATAAAGTGGTGCTGCTAGAGCCAGGGAATGATGGCTTTCTGATGCCTTGTAAAAACGCCACCTGGAAACTTCCTGCCTTTGACACCTTCCTGAGCTTGTTTTGTGCTGCTACACCAGGAGCTGATTGTAGCCACCCTAGCAGTAACAAACGAATCTTTATTCTTCTCAGGGGGAATCTGGTGAAGGCTGAGTGGAAACCAGAACGGGGCATCGTGGAGCTGAAGTCCCCTGCGGTGAGTGCTACAGAGTGTGCTCAGTGCCATCATCTCCTGCTGCCTCACAGATTCCTTAATTTGCTTCTTGCAATGGAAAGGAGCCTGGCTGTCAGCAGGGAACAGCCAGAACCAATCAGGGATTTGTGCTCCTGTTCCAGGGAAAGTTCTGGCACACCATGGGGTTCTCAGAACGAGGCAAACAATGTCTGCTGCCCGAGGAAGCTCTGTACCTGCTGGAGTGTGTAAGTAGGATGAGAGCACTGGGTCCTCACTGATTGGAGGAGCTATAATAACTGATAAACAGCTGGTTCTCAAAGAATTGTCTCTTTTAGTGTGTTGCTGATGGACCTGTTTGTCACCAGGCTGTGGGGTCTTTCCTTCTACTCTCAAGCAGCCTCTGTGTCACTGACAGAGTGTGTCAGTTGGATCTGTGGCCAGTTCATTCAGCTTAAACAGAGATCTTTGGGGTTGCTGCTTGGGATTTCTTCCCAGTATATATGGCAGAAAGAAATTTAAATGTGGCAGACAGAGTAGTGAGACCACGTTGTGTTCAGTGCTCCTCTGCTTGCAGAAATGCTGCTTAGGGCTCAGCTGGATTTCTTTGCTGTAGAAAGGGGGATTTTTGGTCTCTCCACCAAAACCTGTTATCAGTAGAATTGGTGCATTGATCTAAAGGGAACTTTTATCCCTCAGCAAAACAAACAGCTTGTGAGTGTCTGATGCCATCTCTTAAATCCTAAAGCAAAGGTGGGGCTTTTTTACCCCTGGCATTCTGACAAATAGTTTGTAAACAAATTGATGGCAATAAAATGGTTTAGTCAGATGCTGAGTACAAAATCCCCCAAAAGCAGAAAAGACCAGGGAGATGCCTCCAGCCTATGTAATGGAAAAGGTGTGATTCCTAGGGTTTTGTTTTCTTTATGAGTAAACACTATTTAAAAAGACAGAAAGGAAGAAAAAGGTGTAGCCTAAAACAGCCTCCTGGAGGTCATTTGCTGTTCCCAGGGGAAGTTACCTATGGGATCTCTGGGTCTGTAAAGGAAGTAAATGCTTCTGAGGAGGCACCAATTGATGCCACCTGAAGCTGTTGTTCATTCCTCTGCTCCAGTTCTCAGTTATGCTGGTATAAGTGCTTTTGTTGTTGTGCTGTATCCTGAATCACTCAGATCATCAAAGTTAATTTATCTGTCCAAGCAGTGGTTATTTTATCAGCTGAGCATTTTGCTCCCAGGTGCATCTGAACAGATGCAGGAGCTGGAGCAGGAGCTGAGAGCTGTGGGTGGGAACTTCTTACTTGGCTGATTAAACCAGGGTATGGGGGAACTGGGTATGAGAAAGGGGCTGTAGGTAGTCCAGGTGGCATATGGGGAGAGATGGATATCCTGTCAGGGAGAGTGCTGGGACCAGCTATCAGGAGCAGTGGGAAAGGACAGAGTGTGAGCTTGTATAGATTTGTTCCTGTGACTCACACCAAGCTTCTGCCCTGCAGGGCTCTGTCCAGCTCTTTTACAGAGATGTGCCCCTGTCAATCCAGGAAGCCTACGAGACCCTGTTGTGCCAGGAGGCAATGAGCCTGTCACATTACCAGGTGTGTTGGGACCTCCAGCTGTTGGAGGAGGATGAAGGCAGAAAGCCCAGCCTCTGCCACACAAGCTCTTCCAGTGGCTGGAAGCAGGGTAGGCTGATTGGGGAGGGAAGGGAAGTCATTCTCAGTTGTTCCCACTCACCTTCTTCCAGATGTTCAGTTCCTGTTTCTCCACCTTTGCTTTGGGTCCTAACCCTGGCATTTGCTTCTCTGCCAGTGCCACACTGTGTTCACTGTCCTGGTTTAGGGCAATTTTGGGAGAAAAACCTCTAAAGAGGTTTCCTCTAGAAAGCAAATTCATGCAGCCCCTCCCACAACTGGTTTGGGAAAAAGATTTCCTTGGAGAAAAGTGGAAAAAACTGTTCATTTAACAGGCAAAGCATTCACCAGCACAGAAGAAAACCCCCCAATATTAAACAATAAAACCTCTTGCCCCTCCAAGAGAGATGACAAACTCAGAAAAGTCCCCTTAGTGGGCTGTAGCTCGACTCACTCAGTCTCTTATCAGTCCTTCCAATGCTGGAAATGCCACAGGTCCAGGCTCAGCCTGGTGGGCTGCAGGTGTGAGCTGCCAGTGCTCTTCTGGTATTCGGTCCAGAGCAGGCTTAGACAGGTCCAAAGAAAATGAAAACCCACAGTCCAGGGAACTTCCCTTCCTCAGCTAGCTAAAAACTAACTAAAAGCAAAGGAGAGCTCTGTCCCACTGTCTGTCTGTCCGCAGACAACACAGTCCAGGAGCAGGAATGTGTAGGAGTGAGTGCAGTGTCTGAAAACAAACTGCACACTTCTTCTCCCCCACCTTCGCTCTCAAAACCAATCTTAAAGGTGCAAAACTTATTTCTGGGCTAAACAGATAAATGGGGATACAAGCATCATAAAGTCACCCCAGGACATCATTCAGTCATAGTGGAACCGAAGTAAATAGTTTGTGTTTAGAGCTGTCATTTAACCTCCTTGCTTTCCTTTGCTCTAAGGTGTTCAGCCACTTGAAGCAACTGGGTTATATTGTACTGAGATTCGATCCCAGGTAACCAACTTTTCCTTCCCGTGCTGCTTTCTCCTTCCTGAAGACCCTGAGACTCTCTGTACCCACTGCCTGGCCCCAGGGAACAGGACCAGAGAAGAAGACTTTGGCCCTGCATTCCATCTCTTGGAAGGATTTAAGGCTAAGAGTGCCCCTCTACCCTTCCTTGCTCCTCCCTCCTGAGGAGGTGATTTGGAACATGAAATGGGGCATAAACTGAGGGCCATCCTGGTCCCATTTGGGCATTTTCTGTGTCTTCGGTTGCTATATTCTGGGGGCTGGGCAGAAGGTAGCTCCTCTACATCACCCTGCTCTCAGCCTCTGTGTTGGTCTCTCCTTCCAGCACTGTCCTGTCTCCCTATGAGAGGCAGCTGAACTTGGAAGGTCACTGCAAGAGCTCTGGGAAGCACCATTGCAAGAGGAGGAGGAGGAGTTCCAGCCCCCGGTAAGGATGTGGCCCAAAGCCTTCTCCCATCCTCTTGAGGCCACGCTTGCTCAGGAACAGCTGCTTTGCTGCAGTGTCCTCAGGCTCTCCTGCTGGGGGTGACCTTGTATGGCACCTTGCTCTTGCCTGTTCCCAGGCAATGCAGCACTTTTCCTGAACGCTTTGGAGTGTTCCCTTTTGTCACATGTGTGTGTCATGCCAGGGCTAAGAGGGGCAAATTGGCCCCAAGTGCAAAAGGAGGCCATTGCAAAAGGAACACATGTCAGGCACCTCCTCCTACTCTTTTTTAGCAGGAGCGCAGCTACCACAGTGCACATCTTCCATTTATCCACCTCCTCAGTCCAACTTACCTGCCAAGACTCAACAGCAGAGAGCAGACTTGTGTCCTAGGGCTTGCACATGTCCAAAACATCCCCACAACCTGACAATGAGCAATTCTCATATTCTGACAGTTCCCAGGAGGTGGCGTCAGCCTTTCAGAAACAGGGAGGATGAGGCTGGAGAGTCTCTGTTGACAGTAAATCAGTGCCTGAGGAGTTTGGAATTGCAGGAACTGAGAGATTAAACTGCTGGTCTAAGAACTGCCCAATCTCCTCTGGAATCAAAGTCTGAATCTCACACCATAAGAGGTGCTGGCAGGCAGGTTTCTGCCTGGCCTGTGCTGCTTTGGCTGAAGTCCATAGTGTTTGCATGGAGGTGTTTGGGTCAGTGTCTGGGGTGTGGACCTGGCATGGCAGGTTGGGAACATTGTCTATACAAATCAAGGCTGAGATTCTCTTGGGCGTTGAAGTCAAACCTTGTGCAGGACTTCTCAGAAGTTTAATCTGCCTTTGGCATTCACTCTTTAGTTTTGCCTGCTTTTTTTCTTTTCTCATTTGTCTCACAAAGAAATTGTTCTGTAGGATTTGCAGACCTATCTGGGTGTTCCTGCCACTTTTGCTGTCCTTCCTTCAGGCTTGGCAGACTGCATTCTTCCTGTTAGCAGGGAGCAGGCAGAATTTAAAGGAAAGCAAGCTCTACCACATGCTCTCCCTGAAATTTTTACTGTATCTTTGGCTTTAGGTTGCATGAGAAGAAACATAAAGTAGATGAGGACCTTCCAGAAGCTGAAGGGACCTCCAGCAAAGATGGAGATGACTATGGAGACTCCATTCCTGTGGATGAAAAGCCCTTGTCAGTGCAGCCAAAGGAATCAGATGATGGCAGTGCAGAGGGGGAGTCAATGCCAGTTCCTCTTGATACTGGACAAAAGGACTCTCTGAGCTTCTCCAGCAGGCAGGCTGGAGACCACAAGGACAACAGCACTGGCACCCATGCACCCCGCTGGGATTTTACCACCATCACCTTTCCCAACATAGCCTCAGACCAGCCATGCACACATCTGCCCTCCCCTGACAGCAGGCTCCTGCCAGAGAACGTGCCAGGCAGGGAGGTGGATGCAGCTTCCTGGTGCACACAGATCAACCAGAAACAGGAGAAGCTGACGCGGAAGGAGAGGAAGCAGCACGAGAGGGAGAGCAGGTACAAGAGCAGTGTCAATGCCGACCAGGAGGTGAGGTGCTGCTCCAACTGGCAGGAGTACAAAGCCCTCTTGGAGCAGAGGAGGCAGCAGAGGGCTTGGAAGCGACCGTCGCACCTCTGGAACCAAGCTGTCACACCACTGCTGCGGCCAGAAGAAGTGACCTCGCCAGGTAGTGGCTCTGGGAACTTGACAGGGACCATTCTCTCCCCCCCCAGCTCTGAGAAAGAGTGTCTGTTATGCAGCAGCAAAAGGGATGACATGGAGAAGCTGACATCAGTTCTGGGGACAGTAGTTTGAGCAGGAGAATCTTTCTATAGCCCACTCAAGTGCCAGGATAAACAAGGCCTTGGGAGGGCTTCTAATCCATTCCCCATGTCCTGCTGTATTGCAGTCCTTCCTGCTGGGCTGTTAGGCATGTGCAGCCAGGGCCAGCAAGATGCAAAGCAACTGCAGAGTGTCTGGGCTGTGTGCTGGGAGGAGATGAGGAAGTTGAGGTCTTTGAAGTAGCCAGTGGTGACTGTGGAGCTGCCAGCCATTGTCAGAGGAGGAAGGCTCGTGGGTGGTGTGGAGTGCCCTGGGAGGGAAATTGCTGGTCTGATCCTTTCCCGTTCCTTCTCCCTCCAGCTGAGCTCCTCCAGCAGATCAGTGTGCTGCAGCCCTCCCACATCCTGGATGGAGCCTCCTGGTTAGTATCCAGCCAGTCGGCTTGGAGCTGTTGGGGAGCGGGAGTGTCTTGTGACTGTCCCTGCTTGTGAGGTCTGTGAGGTGCTCCCAGCAGCAGTTTGGGAGCTGCTGCATATCCAGGCTGCCAAGAGAAGCCAGTGCTCTGCTCCATGACCCCCTTGCATCTCTAGAGAGGGGGTGACATTTCCATGAAGTAGCAGGTCCTGCAGCAACAGAGCCAGGGCTTTCCAGGCCAATTAAAACAGCAGGGTTCCTCTTTTATCCTGCCCTTTCTTCTCTGCCCCCAGCCAGAGGTTTGATTGGGTTTCACCTGTGCCTCATCCCTGGAATGTGCTGCCATCCCTGCTTCAGTGGTTATGAAACCTTGGTTTTGGGACTTTGGGTTCTGCTCCTGCCTCAGAGTCTGTGTGGTGCTTGTGAGCAGTTCCTGCAGTGCTTTGGTCCTATCTTTGTTAGTGCTGCATCTTGTGAGGGTGTGGGGTAGATGTGAGCCAGGATCTTGCTCTGGTCTGATCACAGGAAAGCTCTGGAAAGTAATTGATACAGTTGCAGGGTCAGCCCTTTGAGGAGTGAAGCCTTTCAAGGGACCCAAACTAGTCAAAACTAGACCCAAACTAAAGGGAGTTTTTGCTCCCTCTTTTCTCTGTTGTACCCATACCCTGCCGTGTTCTGATCCCATACCTGTGTGGGTGTGTTCCCCTGCAGGCTGCAGGAGGACCGAGAGGCCATGAAGATAGACTTCAACGTGTACCAAGCAGACGCTGTGTCCAAGTTTAAGAAGACAAACCCTGGGAAGCCCCATGTCAGGATGTGTGTTCGGAGGTACCCTCGAATCTTGTGCTGTTTCTGAAACTTTGCAGTTGTTGTGGAAACGAAGTCCTAATTATCTGTGAATGACCCAACATCTTGTGAGCTTTACAGATCATCAGAATGTCTCCCTTGAGGGTGGTCCTGCCCAGGATTTTTTTTTTTCAGTTCCTCATCCTTTGTTGGAGGCTGTGGCCGACAGTTCCCCCCTCTACCCCCTGCCCTTGCTTTCAACCCACACTGTTTGGTCATGTGGTTGCTGCTCATGTCTGAGTATCACTGGGAGTCAGGAGAAAGAAGCCACAGCTTTTATGCAATGCTTGTGAAATTCAGGTAGAACCCAGTGCTATGGGAGCTGAATCCTCAGTCAGTGCAGATCACTGTGGAATTCTGCAGACATGAACCTCCCCAGAACTTGCTACAGGCTCTGAGCCATAGGTTCAGTATTTTGATCTTTGTCGAGTGTAATGTTAAAATCACTAAGAACAGAGGGTATGTGTCCCCTTTCTTGCTGGATCCAGAACCTGATACTAGAAGTCTGTAGCTAGGTACAAAGTTCAGCTTCTGCCTTTTCTCATTTTGCTTTATTGAAACTGTCCCTCTGCTCTCTGCAGCTGTAGTAGACAGAGCAAGGAAGGTGGTAATGCAGTTTTACCAAGGTATATCATCAGCCAGTAGGATGATCCTTGTTGCCTAAATATTTTCATTGATGAGCAAACAGACTCTGCAGAATTAAAAGGAGGGAAAAGCAGGTCAGATGTTGATCCCAGCAACCTAAAGATCTTCCCAGCACAAAGGCATTAAGATTGCAGTGGATTGACCATGTGCCAGTATCCCTGTGAGCCACATCTGACCGGCACAGTGTGGAGCAGTGTGTAGTTATCCTTGTTTTTGGCAAAGGATTCAACAGCTCCCAGTTCCAGGCATGCTGGGTAGTCACTCTCAGGGCTGGCAGGACTGCAGTGGGTGGGGAGAACCCCTACCAGCTCCTCAGGCCAAAGGGAGCTGTTGTGATGGCTGGCCAGGACAGCTTTGCCTCTGTGTTCTTCTAGCTTGGAGAACAAATAGGATGTTTTTTTCTCTCTGTAGCTTTGATGAGCAGATCCCCTCCCTGCGGGCTTTGAAGCAGGTGACGTATCTGAGTGGGGACGTCCCTCTGGTCTTTGCACTGGTGGATCATGGAGAAATCACCTTCTATTCACTGAAGGAGTTCAAGCTGCCCGTTGATGTTTATCACTGAAGTTGCTGTCACTTGCAGAAATGGGATGGGATAAAGGGAAGAGTTTTACTCAAGAGTTGTTTTCCTGATTAATGAAATATTACAGAAAACAGAGCCTGTGATAACTGGAACCGTGGGAAGTTGGCCATTTTATTGGCTGTTACAGACTTCACCCACCCAAATGGCTCAGGCATAATGTGTGATTTACAGCACACGAGTCTGTTTGGCTTAGCTGGGCTTTTCTGGGCTGGAGTACACACTGCTTTGTTCTTGAAGCCACTGGCTCTCCAGCTTTCTCACCTCATGGACCACCAGCCTGCCTTTCCTGAGTCATCTTTTGCTGACTGTGGACCATTAGAAAACACATTGCTGGTGATCCTTTTGTCACATGTAAAGAACACTGTGCTACACCGATGGAATGGTTGGAGTGTCACTGAGGTCAATCAGGGACAGAAAAGCTGATCAGTGCTGGTGGCCTGAGCCTCTGTCATTCAGCTGTGCCATCAGATCAGATTCTGGTCTGGAAAGGGCACAGCCATAAACTCGTTTACCTGGAAGAAAATTTCCAGACACTTGAGAACAGAAAACTGTGCCTTGAACACAATTTCATCAGCCAGAGGCCACAGAAAGCCCCAGAGCATTTCAGACAGCAGCTTGGCCTCCTGCAGCAGCTGTGCTGAGATGCATTTTGGCCACACAGTGTTAAGCCATACTAAAACTTGACCACCACTATCAGCACACTGCATCTGGCAGTCTCAGCGGGGCTGAGCTGCAGCCCCTCTCTTTCAGCCCAACATTCTCCTATCTGGCTGTGGATCCTTGTTATTTCTCTTGCACATGGGAGGTCCCTGAGTAAAGAGAAAACCTACAAATTCCTCATGAGCTTTCCAGTCTGCTCTCCACCAGGATATCTAGGTACCAAATTTGCTTTAGCCTCTATGCCAAAAGTGCCAGGTGCCAGAAGGTCTGCTCAGTAGGTGGAAGTGAGCTAAGCATGGCTGTGTTAGATATCAAAGTTTTCAGAACTGTAATAGCAACTGGTTTAGATGTGTTTTATTTGGTATTTTTTTAGTTCCTTTTGGAGATGTGGAGAAGGCGAAGCAATAAAAAAATCCTTTTCCAACGATTCAAGCTCCTCGGTGTATTTCTTAATTCCCCTAGAAATGTTAAGTTATGCAGAGGGAGACTGTGGAGGCTACTGGGACTCGAGCAGCAGCTGGTGAATGCCTGCTCAAGGTCGTACTGTGGCTGTGTAACCCTGGTAACCCTGCTCCTACGCCGGCTGTTCCCGGGGAGGGCAGCGTGACTCAGAGCCTGGAGGTGTCCCTACATCCGCGTGCAGTTCCTGTCGGCACACGACACCTCTTCCTCGTTCATCTTCCTCCTGCGTGGTCAGAGGTATCGTAGCCCAGGGTGCCGGGGCTCTGCTGCCAGCGCCGGCTCCTGTTTCACACACACGCCCCACTTATCAGATGCTGGAAGTCGGCGCGGCTCTCCTGAGGTGAGGGGTCTGGCGGCTCCTCCCACGCTCCCTCCCCTTCCTCTTCCTCCTTCCAGCAGGGCTTTGGCTCCGATAGTTTCGCTAAAGCCGGGGTTGGCAGCCCCAGCTGCCCTCAGCATTCTCCCAGACTGTTTTACAGATTAAAGGCAGTGGGAAGGGAGTTTCTAAGAACAGGCACAGCCAGGAGAATTCCAGCCTGACCCACAAGGCTCATGTTTGTCCTGGAATTAGGTCAAACTCACTCCTGTTGATTTCAATCAGTCTCATCTCTTTATGCCGAGGTGAAATTGTATCGATGAACTCTACAAGAGCCACCCAGTGAGTTTCACTGGGGCAGAGACTCCCTGATTCAGCACAAGACAATTACAATTTAATAACCACTGCAGGGAGGATTGAGAAACTGTGGCTGCCTTGCTCAGCGCTGTAACATCTGATGGTGCCTTTACCCACCCCAGAACAGGGGCATGATCCAGACTGATACCACTGCTCCACTTTGGCCTGTGATGCAGATCGGCTGAGCATTGCAGGATGAGGGAACTGAATGTTTAATTGAAAAACATGACTTTTGGAAAATGGGTGAAATACTGTTACTGGACTCTTGTCAGAGGTAATTTCAAGCTTTTGATGGATGCAGAGTGGGCAGACCTTCACCCGCCATTGCCCTTTACATAAATACAGCATCCTTGTCTATCTGCTGTTTCCTGCAGCAGGACAGGGGATGGCTGCTGCGGGACTGTGCGGTGGGACTTTGTATTCCTCTCTCCAGCGAAGGCTTCGACTTTTTGCAAAATCTACCAATTTTCACAGGCAAGTCTGTGAAAGCTGGGAGCTCCCTGGCGGGGCTGGAGCCGGGAGGAAGCGCCCTGAAGTCCGGCCCCGGCTTTCCCCGCCGCCCTTTTCTGGGCCGCCTTTCCCGGCCTTTTCCCGGTGCCGGGTGCCCGCGCTCCCGAGCCGTGCGGTGCCGCTCTCTGATTGGCTACAGCAAGCACGTTGCTGAATTATTCATGAGCGCGCTGGCTGAAAGGGAGGCGAGGCCGCGGTCCGGCCTTATTTGCATGCGAGGCCACGCCCATGCATGCTGTTTGGATAGCGTGGCCCCGCCTACTGGCCGGTCCCGCCCCCGGCCCCGCCCACCTCGACCCGCCCAGAGGTGCCCGCGGAGCGAGGCCGCCGCGCAGCTGAGGGGGAGCGGGCGCGGAGCGGAGCGCGGCCGGGGCGGCCCGGCCCTAGCCCCCGCAGGTGAGCGCCGCTCGCTGGGGCCGCGCGGGGAGGCGGGAGGGGCTCCCGGGAGGGGAGCCGGCGGGGCGTCCGGCCGGCACGGCCCCGGCAGAGCTCGCCGAGGCGGCCCCCCATGCCCGCCCGTGCTGGGCTGCGCGGCGGGGCCGGCAGGTGCTCGCCGGTGTCCCCGCCCTCGAGTGGGTTCCCTTCGCCGGTGCCCGGGCTCTCCGCGCTGCCTGCGCCGGCAGGGGCTGGCGTGTCGGGGCTGCCCACACGTGAAGCCCTGGCGCACCCGGGGACTCCGGCAGTGTCTCCCCTGGAACTTGCAGCCGCGGCGCTGAGGGCTGGTGGGGTTTTGTTTGCTGCTGTGTCCACTCCCGGGCTCGCTGCGCTGTGTCGGTCCCGGCCGGAGCGCGCAGCCCCGCGGGTACCGCGCGGCCGCTCCGCATCCCGGGATTCCCTGGGGTGGTGGCGGCAGTGGCCGCTCCGGGACTTCCTGCCGGGCCCTCCAGCGGGTCCGGGCCGGGGCCGCTCCCGGGGGCTGCGGGAACCGCTCCCGCCCGGTGCTGCGGTCGGAGATGCCCCTGCCCGCAGCCCGGTCCGCAAGTCTCCAGTGCTGCCGCTGGCTCCACGCAGCGGGTCTTGGAGAAGACAAGAGCAAGAACTGCAGTGACTCTGACTCCCTCGGGATATTCTGTTAGCATTTTCTCTCTTTTTTTTTTTTTTTCCTATGCCTGTATTAAATGCATCTTGTCACTATTGGTACTTTTTCTTTCCCCTCCCCAAAGCTGAGAGAACTTGCTGAATGAAGGAGCACGTTACTTCCAGCAGGCAGCAAACAGGTGTAATAAACCGGTGAAGGAAGTTGTTCAGCCTTTGTCTCAGGTTGCCCTTCATTGTCCCGTGGGAACAGGCTCTTGCTGGTATCTCCCCTCCTGGAGCTGAGGCTTAACCTTGGTGTTGGAGAAAGCTTTGCCTGTTTGTGTTTAGTTTTGTTGATGGTGTAGTGCAGTTGACTCAGGCTCCCGGGTCTGTGTTTCTGCAGGCAATGGCACAAAGCCGTGTGTTGGTGTGGGGGTAGTGACAGGACAGGGGGACAGCTCCACTGACATGGTAGAAGTAAGAGTTGTCCATTGTCATGTCTTACTTGATGGGGAATGCTGCTCTTTGTAGTCATCTGAGAGCACTTCAGTCAACTGGAATATCTGGCTTTACCAAGTCCCAGCTGAAGCTGTGTGCCCAGAGCAGCTGCCTGGTGATCTGAGCTTTGAATCGGGAAGCTGGTGCTTCTGGCAAGTGGGATGCAAAGTGCTGGTACGTCCCAAGGCTCCTCCATGAGTCCTGGCACGTTCCTTGTAGGGATAGACTGGCCCATGGAGGAGATGAGGATGATCCGTGCCAGTACTGAGCAGTCCCTAATCCTGCTCAGTGCTGCTTGTAGCCTGCCAAGGGGCTCTTTATAGTTCGTGGTATTGGAGAGGGAGAAGAGTTCTCAAACGACTTCATAGGATGGTGCTGAGAAATGTCTTTTATTTGGTTTTGAACAAATTACATCTGCTATAACAGCTGACCGAAGAAAAGTACTGGAGGAGTTAAACCAGTTGAGAGCCCTTTATCTTCCAGTGGCCTTCTGGTATGGTAACATAATTGTTCCTGGGAATTGCTTATGGAAGAGGTGTGTCTTTTCTTGGCTGACACAGAAGCTTGAGAAATGTCAAAGAGCAAGGGCAATTTTAAACATATGTCTTGCAGTTAATACACGGCAGTAAGAGAATGTGATACTCTCAGTACCCTCATCTTTCTTTAAAATACCAAAGGAGGCACTGGTTTGGTTTCTGTGCAGAAATTGTGTGAAAACTCCAGTTCTTATATAAACATTTCTCATACCTAGATCTCTTTGTGTTGCTTTATGAAGCAAATGCTTTTGTGGTTTGTTGCATCGACCCACTGTTTGTAAAGTGCTGCTCCAAAGTTACAAGCCACTTTTCTGTTTGATTCACGCTCCTTAGCAAAGCCTACAAAAGGTTTTGCATCACGGGCAATAATGTTGTACAGTGTAAAGACTTTGTTCTGCTGTAGTATTTTGAAACTTTGTGTTGTCATGCCCCCATGACAAGGAGAACACAATAGGAGTCCTAATGACACACAAGGTTTGCACAATTCCCAAATTCATTGCAGGTGGGCGGTTCCTGGTAACTCCAAGTACAAGGCTGTTGGCAGTACACGAACTCGCCTGAGTTGTGTGATTAGTTCTCGATTCTTTTCAAAGAGTTCTCGGAGAATCGATGTCAGATACTTTGTTCAATATTGTTTGTGTTTTAGGAGGGCAGCCACCTGCACATAGTGTTGCCACAGTCTGTTCAGTTGTTCATTTCACTGTCTGTCTCTCCAGGTTCACTGAAATAAATCCTTTTTAGAGGATCTTTTGGTTTTCCTCTCTGACTACTGTATGCAAGGTGCACATGAACACTCTGCTGTTTATGAAACTGCAAGTGGTGGGGGGTAGCAGTGGCTCAGCAGTTGTGTAAGGGAGATCTCTGCGTGGTCTCATTAAAGTGAGAATAATGGTAGAGCATCTTCCTTCTCCTGGGAAAAGGAGGTGTTGTCTTACTCTTCTCTGTGTACTGCAACTGCTCCTTCCCTTGCTTTAGCTGTTCTGCTTGGCTTGTGCTTTCTTCTTGAGTATCTGCCTTGACAGTGTGTCACAGCCAAGCAGGGTGGTAGAGATGAACAGTTAAAGAATAGCTCAGGCTCGTTTCATTGATTTCAAGCTAAAATTGTTCTTAAACTTGTCCTTTCACGGTGAGTCATGGCACCTGTAATCGATAAATGTGATAAATCTGGTGTTTAAGTGATACTTTGCTCAGTTCTGTTGGTGTGAGATCACTGGTGCTAAGGAAGAGCTTTTTTCTGTGCAGCTGAGCCAGCCTCTGTTGTCTTGCTGCTGTGTTGGTAACAGCAACAAGGCAAAAACTCCTGGGTGAGGAGAGAACCTGGTTCAGACAAGGCCATGGGAGTGACTGTTTGTTACAGCAGCACCAACTGCCTGGAGTTCAAACAAAGCTGTCCGATAAGGCCTCTTTTATTTTAGCAGGGTTGATAAAGTGTTATCAGCTGCATAGGTAGATGTTCTCCCTTTAAGGACCTGTAAGCAGGAAGGAGTGCTGAGGAAGGAATGAGAAGGAAACCGAAATCAAGGCAGGATTTAAGAGTTCTTGAGATACTTGCTGGCATTTTGGAAAGAAAGCTCTTGGACTGTATCCCATTGAAAACCTGTTCAAGCTGAGTAAAGGTTGCCAAAGAGGCACACAGATGGTACCTTGCAACTCTGCTACGCGAGCAAAACAAACTCATTATGGGTATGTTTTTGTTGTGGGGTTCACTTGAGACTGCATCCACGCTTAAAA